AAAAAAAAAAAAAAAAAAAAAAAAAGTCTTGGTGGGGGGAGTCAAAAAGAATCGTAGGCCTAGCTAGCAGTAAACAATGTGTAGTCCCCATAAACAGTCATGTGAGGAGGGGTGAAAGATGCAACAGTATAGCAGAGAGTCTGCATCTTTCCTGACTCTTCTTTTAAAGACGCTGGGTCCTTACACAGTCTGTGACTTTCCCTATTCTTCCTTTTCAAGATGGTTGGGTCCTTACACCTTTATGAAACCACCAAAGAATGGAAAATTTTCTGTCCCATGTCAAAACCATTGTCCATCAAATTGTGGTGATAGATTGAGCTTTTAAATGCAACACCTCACCATTCTCTGGTCCTCTGATTCTGAAAATGCCCACATTACTCAAATGAGTTAGAGAGAGACCCAAATGGTAAAATTCATGGTCCACCAAGTTAGATTAGAAGTGGAGGAGCTTGATCTGACCAATTCTCAAATCCCTAGAGAATTCCCATTCCCCCGCTGAAGGAAGATGATAGTTAGTTGCGTGTAGGTATTATCTCCATTGGTACGAGACCTTTTAGGAAAACCCAAAGCAAAGCCACGAGAGGTTATGCTCAAAGTGGACAATATAATATCATTATAGAGAGTCGTGATTCCCAACCGATAGCTCTTCCTCCAGGTTCCAAATTGAAACCGCTGTTTGTTTTTACAGGGAATGCAACAGCGACAGTGGTGTAGGAAAACAAGAAAATATGTGGGATGAAAAATAGGGGAGGGAATCATAGAGTGGCAGTAGAAAACAGGCTATGAGTGTCATATTCTGATACCTTAAAAACACAAAACGTTTCTGAAAGGATTGGACAGTGGTGCGCATTGAATTGGCAGAGAGAGTTATTGGAAATTAATTATTTGTCTCTTAGTTCTCAGAAATTCTTGAGCAGCAAAGCATGAATGGTCCTAGTCAGTCGTCTACCCCTTCAATTCTTAATTTCACCTCTTTTGTGGCTTTCTGACCCTCCATCCCATGTCCTTTCGTATCGTGCTCTTGTTTCTTGCCTTTTTAAACCATCTCCCTCCCCTCCCTCTCTCTCTTTCTCTCTCTCTCCTTCTCTCTTATAATAACTCAGATTTTATTGAACACAGGAACAGAGCTTACACAACTTTTACTCTCATTTACCCACCGTCTTTGTCCTTCTAATAACGCTTTTTACTTTTTAGGAGTGACTTGAACCATCCGGACTAACGAACCCAAACCAAACCACAAAAGTTGTGTCGGGTTGAGTTAGGTTATATCTTCTTTCGGTTTAGGTTTTTGGTCAAAGGTTAGAGCTCAATCCAAACCTATCTTGCCTTTAAAAGGATTTAGAATATTTATCATTTGTAAATGATTTAAGTTGGGTTGAATTCTTGAAAAACCAAATATTTGATTTTGGTTCGTGGGTTGATATTTTGGTCAAGTCAACCCTACCAACCCGAAAATAAGGTTATAGCCCAATCCAAACCTATCTTGCCTTTACAAAGATTTAGAATAGTTAGCGTTTGTAAATGATATTAGTTAATTATAAATGTTCAAGCATTTGAAATTTATGAGTTTTTAATTATAATCCGAAAATAGAGTTGGATTGAGTTAAGTAGTAAACTCTATTCAGGTTGTTCGTGTCACCAACCCAACCAACCCGAAACTTCGAGTTAGTTCAAAAGATTTTTCCAATTCAACCGAACGTATGAATACTCCTATCTCATCACATCATTTAAAATCGTATAGAAAGTGATGATCTCCCAGACGAAGCCAAAATGATTCTAATTTCCAAAACAGAAGAAGACATGGAATCTTGACAAAAAAAAAAAAAAAAAAAAAAAGA